CGACAATACTCGGCCCTTTCCGGGGGGGATGGAGGGAGGGGGGGCCCCCCCCCCCCCCCCCCCCCCCCCCGATGGACGTCTTATTTTTGGTTGCGACGAGGCTCTGTTTCTCACCCGTTTTGCTGGACCCTCTATATTTTGTCGTTGTTTGACGTTGCCTGCCGCAACATCCAGATGCTGCCGTGAACAGCAGAGCGGATGGCGAGCAGACCGGTGGGGTCGGCGGTTTGTCCCACGACGAATCACCTGCTACGGGACTGGAGGGCCTGGGGGACCCGGAAGTACAGGAACGCCTTATGAGGGAGACTATGCTTCATGCTCTCCTGAACACGCCCGAGGTTGAGGCCGATACAGCAGACGCGGAGGCCTCAGGCAGTGGCACGATCGGCGGTGAGGTCTACGCCGGTACCCTGGGAGAAGCTCCTTCCTCCCTGACCGTCGGGTACGGGTGCACATACGTGGCGAGCGAGTCGGTGACAATGGAGAGCTCCGAGTCGCACCTCAACATCCGATCGCCGGCGGCGGCGGCGGCGGCGGCGGCGGAGTCGCCGGCGGCTAAAGGCGGGGGCGTTGAACAACCCACCGGAGGAGGTCAACTGACCATGGTAAGGAGTAGCCACGGCAGAATTCGATCTCGCTCAACAATACATTTGTAGTCGTACGTTTGTGTTCGAGTACAATGTCGAGTGGTCGTGCTAGTATCTTCTTAACATTGTCGGCTAGACGGTGCTAAGGTCCAACCTGTTGCTATATGTTGAAAAAGGCCATGTATATTAGCAATAACTTGCTTGCCCCCCCCCCCCCCACCGTTCCAACCTCCCCCGCCCACGTGCACCCCGTACGTGCAGTTCGACGCTGCGATGCAGTCGCCGCCGCCCCCGCCGCCGCCATCCAGGGACGCGGGCCATGTCGACAACATCATCTCCGAGTCGTTCCACTCGTTGTTTGACCACGAGGGTTCGATCTTCCGCTCGTGGCCGTCGCCACCCTCCGCACGGTCCTCGCCACCACGCCCGCCTCCGTCTTCGCCATGCCCGGTGTTCTCACCGCCGCGCCCATCGTACTCGCCGTCCTGCGTGCCGTCCTCGCCGCCGACACCGCCAACACCGCCCTCGCCGCGGTCACCGCCGTCACCGCCCTCCTGGACGCTGCCGCGTTCCGCGCCTTCGTTGGACAGACACCCGTGGCAGCAGCAGCAGCAGCAGCAGCGGCAGCAGCAACAGCAGCAGCATTGGCCGGGGCACGGCACCGCCGGACTGCCGTGTGCCCTCTCTGCCGACCGCATGGGTTCAGGGTGGAGCGCCGCCAGCCGTGGTCAAGAGGCGGCGGCATGGCCCGGTCAGTCGCACCGGCAGCGTTCTTTTTCCGGCCGCAGTCAACGACCTCGTGAGCAGCAGGTCAACCTGGCGGATTCCGCGGCGTGGCTGTTCATCGTCGGCCCCGTGCTGGGAGAGGGAACGGGGGTACTAGGTGGTGGTGCTGTTGCCGCGGCAGTCTTGGACGCGCCCGTCCCGGTCTCCGCTTCCGTCGACAATACGGCCGGCGGCCGCGGCGGCCGCGGCGGCCGCGGCGGCGGCGCTAAAGATGCCCCTGCCTCGAGAACGACGAATGGCTTCGTCTCGTGGTTCCGGTCTCCCCGATCGCCGAGCCCGGGGACAGGGCGGATGTGCCGGGCGATGAGGGCGGTGTCGGCGACCTTGTCGTCGTTGGTGTGTCCGTGCTTCGAGAGGATG